CGGAGGCGAGCACCGTGGAGGTGGGCGCGGACACGGGCGCCGCGTCGGGAGCGGAGGGAAGAGAGGGGCGGTGATGATTTTCTTATGAGATGTGGGTCCCACGCTGATCAGTCGCCACGGCCGTGAAAACCGCTCTCAATTTTGTCTTAGGATTCAATGTGACATGGTTTTGAAGGATTAGGGATGCGATATATTTGGTATTCCGGTTTTGAGACTATTTTGAAACTCGACGACAAGATGAGGGACCTGCAGTGAACTTTTTCCTTTTCAGATGCAGAGTGGTGCCAGTGCCATGGCAACATTGTTTGGATGTGAAGAATTTCCCTGGCGAACGTACGTAGCATTGGGCCTGAAGCCCTGAAGTTATCCCCATGGCGTCCACTGAAACCTGGACCTTCCTGTTCCATTTATCGAGCTGTTAGGAGGAGATTACTCTAGCTTATGCTCCGTAGCTAAAATTTAAATTTTAAAACTATTTTAAGAACTTGTTTATTGTGGTTTATTTTTCACCATGTATATTGTTCTTTTACGCTAATAAGTATTACGGCTTATAGTGATACTGACGAAACAGAGTGACGTTATGACGTATGTGTTCATCATGTCTAAGGTACAAGAAAACAAATTACCACGCAAACCCTGAACAACAAACATCATGTGCTATATTAGTAGCTAGCTCCATCGGCCATCCTATTTTCCATCCTTAATTTCGTAAGACAAGTTAATTACTTCCCTGAAAAATCATCAATGGATAAGAACGTACCTAGAATTAGAAACAGCTAGCAGGTCAACTAGTCCCAAGAAGGTGAGGAACATTCCATACCATATTTCGATCCACTTGGAGGCATAGGGGCCCTACTGGATCGAGGCCTCTCTTCTAGCTAGTCCCGGACCAGCTATGGGCATCCATTCTACGCAGTGGTCACGCATGCAATGCGAGCTGGAGTACTCCTACTTTAGCTAGCAAGATAACCCACTTTTCCGGCCGGCGCAATTATCGCCAAGCCAATTAGCCAAGCACAAACCGGTTCGGTCCAGCCCTTATCGACATAATCCTACACAGTTCTTAATTACTATGGCTACTAATCCCCGCGGTAGAAATCAGTACATGGATCAGATCGAGTCAAACCTTTGCATCCAACCATGAGCAGATTTCAACATAATACAAAGTGGAAATAGTTGCCATACTTTTAGTATATATCATGTGGAAAGGAGCAAGGCGACACCGTGGCAGCGGCACGCGATGTTTTTGCCCGGCTGTGTGACAGCGAGCAAACAGCTAGCGTTCGGACGGCGGACGAGAGTCGCGACTCCGGCCAGGCCTGGACGCTGATCGGTTTGCTTGGTCCCTTTCCGTCCTCACGCTCCACCGCACCACACCACACGCACGCCGCGGGAGCAGGGGTGAAAACGGTATGGAAACTTTTCGGATTTCGAATCTATTTTCGAAAACGGAATCTGTCGGTCGGAATTTTTTCGGAATTTTTCAGAAACGGAAACGAATTCGGAAATATTTTCTCGGAAACAGAATCGGAAATGATAAGGGCAGTTTTCGTCGGAACTCGGAATCGGTCGGAAACTTTTCGGAAATTTTATTGGAATTTCCGGAAATTTCCTCGGAATTACCAGAAATTTTGTGACTGAAATACCCTTGATTCTTTTTTAAGTAATAAATAGTGGATACCATGGTGTTTTGCTGTTATTTTTTTAAAAAATATTTGTTATGCAAATCTAAAATTACATAATAATATATATATTTTGTGCTACATTGATTTATCAACAACATTACTCTTTTAAACATAGATAATTTATTCAATTGTATTTATCAGTTTGAGGGGTTTTTTATTCCGATAAATTTTCGTTACCGTATTTGCGCCGGTTCGTTTTCGCTCCGTTTTTTATTTCGATAATATTCAATTCCGTTTTTATATCTAGGGTTTCCAATTCCGAAAAAAATATAAAAACGAAAGCGATAAAAAGTCCGTTTCGTACTGTTTTCACTCCAACGCGGGAGCGAGAGACGCGAAGCGACGCGACCCGCGCCTCCTCCCGTCTCCCGAGCCCGAGGCGCGCGCAACGCACGGCGCGCGGCTCGGTGGATGGATTGGATTGGATCGATCTCGCGGCTCGCCGCTCGCGCGCGCGCGGTCACCACGGGTCACGGGGGGCGCGTCTCTCGTGTCGTGGCCGCCCATGTATGATGATGCGTACGAACGAACGCACAGCGCGCGCGGGGGAGGGGGGTGGGGGTGGGGGGAGGTCGGGGTCGCCGTCGAGCGCGCTCTTTCGTGCGCACGCCGCCGTGGCCCGCTGCCGCGCACCGTACACTCGCGTGTCTCTTCACGCAATGCAGCAGGGGGGTGGCGGGCGGGCGGGCCGCGGGCGTACGTCCAAGCGCCCCAGCTGGGCGCTGGCTGTCGTAACGTAACGTCCTCCCCCTCGTAGAAGCAACGTGTGGTGCCTGTACCATCATGACGCATAATCGTTTCGGAGCTCGCGCGCGCGGCTGCTCGATAGAGTCTGTGGAGCGTGTGTTCGCGTAGCAACGTGTGTTGCCTGTGAACACTTCTTAGATTAATTCCATTTGCTTTGGAATGGAATTAGTATATTATTTTAAGCGATTGTCTATGCAATATGTGAAAAAAAAAGGCTTATACAGTATCACGTTGTGTGAATTTTGTGCTATATATTGTATTTGCTTCAAGATTTGTGCAACTCAAATGGAAGTAGTATATTATTGTGATTGTCTATATATCATGTGACAAAAAATGTTACTCCCTCCGTTTCTAAATATTTGACGTCGTTGATTTTTTTAAACATGTTTAACCGTTCGTCTTACTAAAAAAATTAAGCACTTATTAATTCTTTTCCTATCATTTGATTCATTGTTAAATATACTTTTCTATATACATATAGTTTTACATATTTCACAAAAGTTTTTGATAGGACGAATGATAAAAAATGTGCTAAAAAGTTTTTCAGTATTTAGAAACGGATGGAGTATATCACATTATGTGAATTTTGGACTATTCTATTTGCTTTGAAATTTGTGCAACTACCCCCTCCTCCTTCCTTACTCGGATGCAAGGTTGATTTCCCCGCGCTTCCTTTGATGCCACTATACCCAAGGAAGGCACTCGGCCTTGGGGCACGCTCCGCTCGGTCTATACCATCCGTTCTATAAAAAACGAATCTAAGACCGAATGTAACATATTCTTTTACTAGTACTAGGATGTGTCATATTCGATACTAGGTTGGTTTTTATGGGATGGAGGGAGTACTCCTCAAGCCGGTGGCCCCCACCTCGACGATCCCCTCATCAGCGCTAAGAGCATCTCCAACAGCCTCTCTATCTCCCTCTCCAAATTACAATTTGATAATTTTAAACCAAAAACATACTCCAACAGACTAGCTAACTGAATGGGCAAGCCATCCGGCTAGCCAAACTTCTTCTCACACTGGCAAACTTTGGCCAGCCAAAATTGCCTTGCCAAACATGGGCCCCATGGCTTTTCCCCTCTCCCTCCCCCTCCTCCCAGATTGATGACGCCAGCGCCGCCCCTCTGCCGACGCTGCCCCTTGTCCACCGCGCCGTCGACCGCTGCCGAGGCCGCCGCCGTACGCTACCTCATCGTTATCTGCCGTCGCTGGCTCGCTCGCATCCTCCACCCCTGCTAGCCGTCACCGCCGGGTCAAGCGCCTCCGCGGCCGCTCGCTTGCATCCTCCTCCTTCGCCGCCGCTGCCGGGTCAACCGCTGTGGCTGACCGGTGCAGCGAGCAGAGTGGAGGCGGCGGCGCAACGGTGAGGGAGGGAGTAGCAAAGGAAGGAGGCTCGACGGCGGATGGCTATCGAGGAATACAGGGCTGGTGAGGAGTGGATCCGCCGTCACCGTCGCCTTACGCGCATGGATTCGACGTCGCCATAGCCGCCGCTCCCACCGGCCTTCGTCGCCCGCGCCTCTCCTGCCGGCGTCGCCTCCATCCCCGCGCCGCCCCCGTCGTCCTCCGCCACCCGTGCTGCTCCCGCCGGCGCCGCCTCCATCCCCGTGCCGCGCTGCAAAGAAGAGGGGAGAAGGAGAGGTGGGTGAAGAACAACACGGAGATTGACATATGGGACCTACTATTAAATTGGAGAGTGTAAATGGAGATGCTGTTGGAGTAAAACGTAGATTTGGCTCTCTAAATTTTTGTTAAGTTTTCAAATAGGATATTTGGAGTAAAAAATAGCCACTCTCTTGGATATGCTCTAACTCGTTGGGTCATCACCGATCAACAGAGTTGGACAAGATCACGCGTACGAATCTTCGGAGTGGATGGACTAAAATCTGCAAGATGAGGGCTTTGTTTATTTGTTGAATGGAGGTTAGCAATTCCGTTATTTTAAATCGAAGCCAAAAATCCAACCAAACATTACATATGACTTATGTCCAACCAACCAAGACACTACCGTTTATATTTTCGTTCCAAACAATATATTTAAAACTCAGCCAACCTAGGAGAAAACATGCACTCAAATTCGCCTCGTTGAGAACTTAAACTCGGGTGATCTGGGCATACATTGCTCAGTAGATCAGTTCCTCCTCAGTTCCAGACAATTTCAATACACAAAATATAGAAAACTGGTAGCCGACATTGTTGCTAACATCCATACCATTTTCATCCCTGGTAACTAAGGCTTTATTCGTTTTGAAAGATTCCTAAAGGAAATCTCAAATCCTTTGAAATAAGCACTATTCATGCATTCAGTTTGTAGGATTCAAAGAAAAAATTTTCATAGGAACACTATGCCAATCCTCCAAAAATCCTCCAAAATGTTCTAATTCCATAGGAATGAAAACATATACTCTATCCTCTTTTGTTTAGCTCAGTGTATGAAAAATTCCTATCTTGCAGTCCTTTGTTTTGCACATGCATTTCTACACTATTCCTACGTTTTTAATATTCCTGTGATTTAGAAATTCTGTGAACCAAATAAGCCTTAAATCTTTCAGCTGCTCCTCCAACTAGCAACTAGCCATATGCCCATATATCCGGAGGTCGTCGGCCTCGCATCGCAGGAGTCCCAAATAGCAAGCCAACGACCACTCACAGAAAATCGGCTTTTCTTTGCAACACCAACGCGGGAAAGCGCATGGTCCCCCGGACCGGCGCGTCCAACGCCAACTCCAACTGCCAACCAAACCAGAAAACTTTCCCACAAATCAAGGACGCTGTCCAAATCCTACTCACCCCCTCATCCAGCCACAGATGCTCAAATGGAGTAGTCGTGATCACACACACACACAAAATAAAAACAGCCTTGCTTTCTCCTGTTTTTGAGCCGGCAGACCAATGGCAGCTCATAAAGCAGGTCATGAAGTAGTATCCCCCAATTATGCCTACAGGCTACAGCGTCTACTGGCCCCATTTTCCCTGGAAATCCTCCAATTTGAGCTGCTAACTGCCACACTGTGACACCCTGGAGCCGAGAGTGACATGGCTTGGAAGTGAGCAGCTGGAAGAAGATACATACGCAGTGTTTTTGTCCATTGTCCGTCCATCCAACCAGGCAAAACGAGTGTCCACAAGAACCGGGAAATCGCCAGATATGATGTATGGAAAAATCTGCATTCAAACAACAGTGCCATGCAGATGAACACGCGCACCTGTGGGTCGCGATCAGAGAAAACTGGATCGCATTCCAGGTCTCAATCACCGTCCAGAAACCAGCGTCACAGTCGCCTCTTGTGTCTATTATTGTCTTATTTCGGTTTTAAGGCTACCTGATGACGCATTAATTCAGCAAAGCATCAGCGTCACTGTCCGTTGTCCCAGCTCCTATTGCAGTTAGGTTTCTCTAACATGGGAGCATAGTACGCTGTGCTGTCGATGCGTCGCACAGCTGCCTGAAACCTGAAGCTTTTTTTTTTTTTTTGGCAGGCACCAAACTGAAGCTGTGTGTCACATGATCTTAGGTACAACAGTGCAATCAGGGTTAGCGTGTTGGAGCAGCTGCAGCTTTGAAGATTGGAGCCGCACCCGATGCCTCTTCAGGCTCCAGGTACCAAACGGATTAGTTTTATAACTACTTCTTCCAACCTGGTTAGCAATCACATGACAAGGTATCTATCGGTTCAATAATTTTGACAGTTAGGAGACGGCCTGACGCCCTGACCACGGTCTCCAATAATTGAGATGGTTCTGGTACAATCATGATCATCATAGAACTAAAAGAATACAGTAGCAACAATGACTACAACTGAGATGATGTTAAGGAGCAGGGAGTAGTGTTGATACAGCCCAGCAGCCCTTCACCGCTCCTGTTTTAAGCTCAGAATTATGGCAGAACAGAACAGTTAGCAAATTTGCAAACTTCCAGGCAATTCTTTGAGTCAAGATCACAAGATACATGATCAAAGGACAGCTACAAGGCAGCACATAGCCAAACCAAGAAACATTAAAAAGCAGGGGAGTGAGGAGACTAAAGGAATGAACAAAAAGGATCACTTGGATGTTCTGCTTCCGTCAAGCTTGAGATTTCACACAAGCTACCCTATCTTCCATCAGCAGAGGTGAATGATTCTGCAAATCCTGGAGGCCTCGTCGGTATGCTTGTCTGAGTATTATCCAAGCTAGCAAGGAATGAAGACGTCGCGCCATCAAAATGGCTGCTATCCTCAAAGGCCTGCCATTTCTTCAATGCTTGCGGCAGTGTCATGTCTAGATCGATACCATAGCTGTCATCTGAATCTGGATCAGACGGTTTCCAAACATCCGAAAGAGTAGAGAGCACATTGACAGCATGACCCATATCAGGCCTCTGGTGTGGTTCCCTAGCACAGCAGTGACCAGCAAGCTCAGCGACAGTGCTAACGCTTGCAAGTGTCTCCTCGGTGAGGTCAATTGTTGGGTCAATTGCTTTCTGGAATGTGTCTTTGCTAAGTTGCATTCTTCGGAACCATGTTACCAGGTGCATGCTGTCTTCAGGCTGAGTCTCATCAAGCGCCTTGCGTCCAGTGATCAGCTCCATCAAGATGACACCAAAGCTGAAGACATCTGCTTTTGTTGTTACTCGTCCAGTAACTGCAAATAGAACATAACTTGTAAGGTTAGTGCAAGTGATACAAATACCAGAAGTGACAGTCCCGGGCATAAGAAATAATGATTTTAAAAATTGCATTGTTGCTCAAATCATCGAAGAGCTGGTATAGCATGCAAAAGAAACCTCTTATAAAAATGTTTGTCAATGCTTGTGTACATAATTAGAAATCAGCATTTCTTACATTAACATTTGTGCTTCATGTAATCAGAACGGTTAGCTCAACCATAGGCTAAAAATAATAATTCAAGTGAAATATCAAATTCTGATTACATGAACCTACTCAGGACACTGAACTCATCCTAGTTTATCACAGAAATGATTACCCAAGACTTCATATATGATTGAGTAAATACATTTCGTTAGTTTTCAGATATCACATACTGCCCTACAACTTTTCCTTCGGAATAATCAAATTTTATTAATAAGCAACTACCACATCTCCTATAGATGAGATCAAATTTTATTAATAAGCAACTACCACATCTATAGAATGAGTAAGCTCATAACTAAATGAGAGTTAAATGATCATTTCAAACTTGAGCACTAAGCCTCTAGTTTTGGCATTTGGTCGGTGTTGCTACTTTAGACATCCCTCAGTTCTAATATATTGCACTTGTTTGTTATACTGAACACAAAACATCTGAATACTGAAGCAAAAAGAAAAGGATGATCACCTGCATATTCCGGAGCAAGGTATCCAAAAGTGCCAGCAAGCCTTGTCTCTACTGACACGCACTTCCCATCAGCCGGTGCAAGCCGGACCAATCCAAAGTCTGCCACCTTTGCCTTCATGTCATCACCGAGGAGTATGTTTGATGGTTTCAAGTCTCTGTGGATGAAGGTCTGCTGTGCAAGGCTGTGAAGATACTCAACACCCCTTGCAACATCAAGCGCAATGCTAAGTCTCTTCTTCCATTCCAACGGCCGCAGATTGTGTTCTTTCCACTCAAACAGGTGTTGACTCAGTGTCCCCTGTGGCATGTACTCATACACTAGAATCCTCTCATTGCCATCGAGACAGTAGCCAAGCAGTGACACCAGGTTCCGATGGCGAACCTTGGTCAGCACAGCAATCTCTGATTTAAACTCATTTAGCCCCTTGTTACCCATCACACCAGCCTCCATTCGCTTCACAGCAATTTTTGTGCCATCATGAAGCTCACCCTTGTACACAGTGCCAAAGCCACCACGGCCAAGGACATTCTCATCACTGAAGTTGTTGGTCACATTGCGGAGGACTTGAATTGAAATTACCATATTTCCAGTTTCAACAACATGAATATCCCTTGGACCACTGCTCGCTTGACTGTATGTCTCACTTGCAGCTGCACCGCCATTGACATTGCCACCAGCAACTGTGATTTTAACCATATCAGGATCTGACCCTGAGTGCCGAGGATGAACAACCATAGCGTGTGGACTTTGAACCCTTCCAAAAGGCTTCTGTTTTCTTTTATAGCAATAGAAACCTAATGCAGCAAGAAGGCCTACTCCAGCAATAGCACCAACCACTGAGCCAGCAATGATTCCAGCAGAAGACGAAGAGGGACTCCCATTGCTTCCATCACCGCCATTCCCACCATCTGGCGCATTGCTGCCGCCACTACCACCTGATCCAGACGGTGCAGGAGCATCCTTGCCAATGTTCGGGTTGCCATTAGCTTTCACCAGCACATTCTTCGCTGCAAAGGTAGGGAGTTTCCCATAAAGATTGTTATTCGACAGATCAACCTCCGTCAGAGCAGGCAAAGCAGCAACCTCCTTCGGCACCGTGCCAGTAATATTGTTGTCTGCAAGAATAAGCTTCTGAAGTGTTGTAATCTTCCCGATAGCTGGGGAGATGCTCCCACTGAACCCCATCCTGGCAAAATTCAGCACTGTAATGTTCCCTGCATCGCATCCAACACCAATGTAACCATCACACGGATCATTCCCTTTCCAATTATCTGCGAGCTTCGCCGGGTACTGGAACTCAGCCGCCACCTCCAGCAGCAGGTTTACACGGGGATCACAAGGTTGTCCAGGGGTGCTCAAGCAGAACCGCTCCGTAGTCGGCACCACATCTGCTTTCACCTTATCGGCAAATTTGGGCGTCGGCCCCTGCAGCAAATTGTTCGTCAGGGTCACCTTGGTCAGAGATCCGAGCTTCAGAAGACTGTCCGGCACCGGACCGGTGAGCTGGTTGTCACGGAGCTCCAAATCGGAGAGACTTGCAAGCCCCGAGAAGTCAGGCAAGGGGCCAGTGAAGTCATTGGAGTGAAGCCAAAGCTCTTGGAGCGAGGTCATGTTGGAGATGAAGCTAATCGACCCGTTGAACTGGTTCTCCCCAATCTGGTTGTTGAGCCAGAGCGCCTGCAGCGGCGCGGTGGCCAGAGACGCCGGCACAGGCCCGGACATCTTGTTGAACGCCAGGCTGAGCCGCTGCAGCGACGGCAGCGCGGTCCCGAAGAAATCCGGGAGCGCGCCGGTGACGTTGGCGGTGTTGGCGGAGAAGTTGGTGAGCGACGTGCAGTCGGCGAGGTCGGCGGGGAGCGGCCACGGGTCGAACGGGTTGTTGTCGAGCGAGACGGCGGCGAGCGCGGTGAGCCCCTTGAAGAAGTCCGGCGGGATGCGGGTGAAGCCGTTGTTGTGGACGAGCAGGTACTGCAGCGACGAGAGCCCCGCGAGCGACGGGAGCTCGCCGGAGATCGAGTTGTCGAAGAGCTCGAGGCGGGCGAGCGCGGTGAGGTTGCGGACCTCGGGCGCCAGCCTCCCCGTCAGGCTGCGGTTCCCGACCTGCACGGCGGTGACCCTCCCCGCCGAGTCGCACGTCACGCCGGCCCACGCCCTGGGCGACGAGCAGGGGTCGCCAGTGCTCCACCCCAGCGCCTTGTCCGCGCCCAGAGCCCTCGCCACCGCCCGCATCGCCGCCGCGTCCGACGCCGCCGTCTCCCCCGCCGCCGCCCCCACCACCAGCATCACCGCCAGCGCCACCGCCACCGCCACACCCCCTCCTCCTCCGCCACCACCACCCCCCCTCCGCCGCCGCCACATTTGCGCCGCTCTAGAGAGAGAAACAAGGAGAGAGAAAGAGAGAGAGAACTAGAGAGAGAAACAGGAGTAAGTGTTGGGGTGGCGAGGATTTAAGCGAGGAGAGAGACGAGAGCACACCGCACCGGGCACATGGGCACATGCGTGGGACCCACGGGTTTTAGGGTTTTTTTCCCCTCCCTCCCCGCGCACGAAATGACCGTTCTACCCCTACCGGCCGGTGCGGTCCGGACCCGGTTCAGCCGGCCCGCGCGGTCACCGACACGTGGGGCCCACGTGGGGATGGCGCTGGATAGGAGGGGCAACCCGGGTATTTTCTCCGGGAGTGAAAAGGCGGGGGGGCGATTTCGCGCTGGAGCGGAGCTGGCAGGTGGGGCCCCGTCCGTGTGGGCCCACGCGGCAGCGTCACAGGTGTCTCCCGCGCCCGCGCGGCGGGGATTAGGGGAGGAGAGAGGAGGCGAAGGGGAATCCAAGACGGCTCTCCCATCCGTCCGAGGGAGGCGGTGGGGGTGGGCCCCACGAGTCAGTGACCCGGAGTGGTGCCGCGTCCGAGAATTGAATGGACGGACCGCGAGGGATTCAGATTCTCGGCGGCTCGAATCCGTGTGACCGTCCCTGTGATCGCGAGTACTCTCTCCATTCCCGAATAAAATTATTTTTAGCCATCTGATTTGTTCTAAAATAAGTTTAGTTTTGAATATTCATTGCATCAGGATTTATAAAAAATTGCATCAAGATTTATAAAAGTAAAAGGCTAAATATATTTAAAGTAGATAAAATGAAAAACAATAACATCAAGATTTGACAAAATGAAAGTATATTAGTACTTTTTTTTTAGTTTTTTGAGGTAGCCCGCGCGATTGCGCGGACTTCTCTTTTTCTCTAAGTATTTAAATCTTTTTATGATGATTATTTTTTTATACATATATAAAGTTTCCGTAAAAAGTTCATATTTATATATATAGCAGTCACCCACATCATGTAGTTGTTAGTCATTCAAATTTCTGATGGTTAAGAGTTTCACACCTTTGCACGTATAAACTTTAACTATAGCTGAGATCTTTGATAATACCGAACTAATTATTCTTTTTGATATCTGTATTTTTTTTCTTAATGACTCATGAGCATTTAATTTTCTCATGATTTATAGTGATATCAAATTGGGCATCCACAAATATGACTTCTAAATATGAAATTTAGAAGTTCCTATGGTACATATCCATTCTTCAAGCGACCTACGATCCATGATTCCCTAGCGTGTTTGTAGCCTATAAAACGGTGTAATAGAGACTCATCTATGCAAAAAGTTATTATAATTAAGTGGTGGTTTGGTACCACCATAAAAGTTTAAAAGTTTACATG